TTTTGGAGAATTCAGAACCGTCTGCTCCGTGCTTGCTTGAAGTTAAACTATAAAGCAGACCTCCTGGTTGCCAATATCTTCCTGTTCTCTTACACATAGTTTCCTTTTCTAGGAATTTGGCAACAGTTAAGGAGGATTGTCTTCTCGCATATGAGATTGATGATCTTCGATAGAAGTTCCTCGACCTTAGGTTCCATGTTCCATAACCTTTCCCAATTTTAAGGACAATATCATACAACGATGCTGATCATGACAAGGGAATAGACCTCTTGTTCAAGAGGCTCTTTTTTATCTAGTAGATAAGCACTCCTCGCACAAAATTCAGTAGCTCTTCACCAGAAATGCTATAACCATTTTACTAACACTGACATATAGTAACGAAGGTTAAACCTAAATGACGAAAGCACTCAATCTCCTTTGCTGAACAAGTTCACTTTGATAAATTTGATCTCTTTTTAGTCCTGCAAGTACCAGGTCCAGGCAATAGCTTATGTTTCAGAACCTTCTATGTGTGAATAAACTGCATGTTCTCAGTCACGTAACTCTGATTAATTCATACTTTTGAAGAAAGTTCTGAATGCACGCTTCAATTTTAAATCTATAGTAACTAATAAAGAAGTTTGACTAAGTTGAAAGCTTGAAATTTCATCCATAAATTCTGATGATGAAGTCTAGAGTGAACGTAGTTGCACTTTGAATATAACCCAGTTGAAGCACCGCATTGAAGGCAGCTCTGTGGAGTAGATAATACTGCTTATGCATAAAGAAAAAGCAGGAAGCAAGTTTTCACAATTTCTCTAGAAAAGTGCAGTCAATTAATATATCATGAATCATTCATCGGTTGAAAACTGTAGTTAGCATTACCATCTGCTCAATGATCGGACCAGCATCAAGTTCTTCAGTTACAAAATGAGTCGTTGCTCCAATCAACTTCACTCCAGCATCATAAGCCTGAAAATTATACCACAAATTACAGCTTTTATCTCCAAGAAGCAAACACAGAATAAGAAATAAATAAGTAAATAACAGAAGGAAATTCGTAAAATATTCACCTGTCTTGATGGATTGCCACCCTTGAATGATGGAAGTAGGCCGTGATGAATATTGATTATGTCTTTACCATAGCTCTCCAAAAATCCTTTTGATAAGACCTGCAGAGGTCAAAAGTAAATGGCAAAAGTCACAAAAAGAAGGGGGAAAACCTGGGACAAATACTCATACTGATCAAAGAAAAGTGTAGTGAAATTTGAATGATCATATTTAGTCATGGCGACTTTTTCTTATTATATTGGATGAGGAAGCAGATGACAAAGGAAAAGGCAGGTCAGATGGCCACAATACTAATTAATTGGTGTATCTTTCTGAATATCCAATTTTTTCAGGGGGCATTCACTTGTTCAATCATTATTTTTTCAACTTACAGAAGGATCACTGTCTCATGGCTCCTTTGGTCCATAATCTGTCATTTCTTTCACCAAGTGCAGGTTCTGTTTAAGCACAAGATCACTAGTCCTTGTCACCTTGAGCAAGTGAAATTCTTTATTTAACAATCACAAAGTTCATTTTCATTATCTCTGGTGGCTTGCCTTGCTGGATGGTTGTCTGAATCGGTATGGAGTAACCATAGTGCCCCTCCAGTGATACCATTATGGGCAATCGCCAAAAAATACTGGCCATACCCAAACACACTTCTTACTTCTTTATCTTTCTCTAAGCTTGGCCATTTATCTCTTTCAACAAGTTGTCTAAGGAAATACCAACAAGGTTCATGTTTATAAGCCCTAACCATGAGGACAATTTCCCATCCAAGTTAAACTTTCACTTGTCCTTCTCTCCCATCATTAGTTGGAAGTTTGCAAAAGATACTATGGTTCTCAAATTTCTGATAAGTAGCTGTTGACATATTAGAATAGTTAAGGGGTTATTTGTAAGATGTATTCGTAGGGGGCCTATATAAGCCCATGTTATTTCATTAATAAGATTAGGGTTTCTTCATATATTTCAACTTGGTATCAGAGCCACCAAAACCCTAGCCGCCGCCTTCCCCCCCCTCAACGAGCCACCCCCCCACCGGAGCATCCCCTCCCCTCACCCGGCAGCCCCCTCCCCCCACCTCATCGGCAGCCCCCCCCCTTCACACGCGCAGCCCCCCCCTTATTCGACAACAGCCCCCCCCCCCCCCTTTTTTGTTCGATCTCCTGACCCCGCCCCCCTTGTTCGATCCGACCTCAGCCCCTCCCCACCCCCCTTTTTTCCCCGATCAGCCCCCCCTGTTCGATCCGACCTCAGCCCCCCCACCCCCCTTGTCGATTCCGACCTCAGCCCCCCTCCCACCCTTTGATCACCTCTGCTGCCGCCATGCCGCACCTAGAGTTTGGCATGGGTTCCCTCGACTCAGTCCTCGAACTGATGACAAGGAAGAGTATATATCTCACATCGATGAGATATATAACTGTTTTGGTTCTTGTTTCCTCTGAGAAACGAGAATTTGTTGCGATCCTACTCTTGTTGTGCCAGCAGATGTGCTGCCGAAATTTTCACTGCACACAACAAGGATCGCGGAAGAGTAGGTGACCAGGTGTTGGGTCTTGAAGCCTGTCGACGGAGGAGATCATCAAGAAGTTGAACCCTGCCGGAGGGTGTCAACTTTGATGAAGCTTAATGAAGTTGTCGGCTGGTGAGAGCGCGACAAAACCATCAAAGAAGTTGGAGCTTCCGACCATCGATCTGAAGCTGGATGGACCTAGTACGTACCTGAGCTGGTCACGGCGGAGTGAGATACACCCTGCAGGGAGGAATCTGGAGGGTTATCTAACAGGAGAGGTGACAGGCAGCCGGAGGAGGACTCAGAGGGAAGAGTGAGTGGAAGTCCACCTCATATGTTGGTGTACATCTGGCTTCTCAACTCGTTGCGTCCGACGATCGCCGCCACGATGGATGGCCATTGAGAAGATGAAGGACGTCTGGGAGAAGTGAGGAGGACATATGATGGAGTGGGGAATAACCTGAGGGTATTCTAGATTAAAGGACGAGATCGACGCCACAGTCCAGGAGAGAGGACTGTACAGGAATATGCTACAGAGTTGCGAGCGCCTGTGCGCTGGATTATGATCATTTCCCCCCCGCGGCTAGCTGCAAGGACCGGGATGTAAAGAACGGGAGCCTTTCTACAGGAGAGGACTATGGTGTTTCTCAAGGGATTGACATCAGAGTTCACTCAGCGAATCGCATTGCTGCTAGCTCAGCCGAAGATTCCCACCTTGAGGAGGCTGTCTCTGCTATGATCCAGGAAGAGACTCGCATTCGGCTGCAGGCGGGGACATGTGGACTTCCTGTGGTGAAGTCAGCACTGGCAGCCTCTAGCAACATTGGATCTAGGGGAGAGACCCGACAGTGTTACAACTGCGGTGCGGTAGGTCATCTAAGTCATGCTTGCACCAAGCCACCCAAGGAAGGAGATTCGAGTGGACGTGGACAGTTCGGAGGTCGTGGTCGTGGCCGTGGGGGTCGACGAGGTGGAAGAGGAGCAGGGAATCGGGCGAATCTGACGGTAGCAGAGGAAGAAGAAGCTGAGGTGGTCTTTACAGAGGAGGATCGTGCTCTCCTGATGATACTCAGAAAAAAACAGCAAGTAGCAGGGGATGGAGAACTTTGTCCAATGTTTTGCATGCTCCTTCCTTTTCAGTCAATCTTTTATCCATTAGTTCTATCATCCTCCAACTAAAATGCATTGTTTCTTTTGATATTCCTAAGGTGATCTTTCAGGAGAAGGGGACAGGACGGAGACTTGGGACTGGCACATGGCGTAATGGACTGTGGTATCTGGATCGTGAAGGGCTAGATTCAGCTTTGGTGTCAATGATAGAGAGAGCAGGAGTAGGATCTGAGATGAGTACTGAGAGTGTGTTGATGCTTCATCACAAACGCTTGGGACATACTTCTTTTGGTGTTTTAAGTAGGTTGTATCCATCTTTATCTTGGGACTGGCACATGGCGTAATGGACTGTGGTATCTGGATCGTGAAGGGCTAGATTCAGCTTTGGTGTCAATGGTAGAGAGAGCAGGAGTAGGATCTGAGATGAGTACTGAGAGTGTGTTGATGCTTCATCACAAACGCTTGGGACATATTTCTTTTGGTGTTTTAAGTAGGTTGTATCCATCTTTATTTGAGAAAGTAAATAAAGAGAAACTTGTGTGTGATGCATGTAAGTTGGGAAAGCTTACTAGAAGCTTTTATGTTAGTTCTGATCATAGGAGTTCTCATGCATTTGATATGATACATTCAGATGTGTGGGGGTCGTGTTCCATAAGTTCTATGAATGGTTACAAGTATTTTGTTACCTTCATTGATTGCTTCTCTCGTGTTACTTGGTTATACCTGATGAAGAATAAGAGTGAAGTGTTTGGTTGCTTTCAAAACTTTCATAGGTATGTTCAGACTCAATATGGAGCAGTGGTGAAGGTATTGAGATCTGATAATGGGACAGAGTACACCAACAGGGTGTTTGGCGAATACTTATCATCTCAAGGAATACAACACCAGACTACATGTCCATACACACCAGCTCAGAATGGGGTAGCGGAAAGAAAGAACAGACATCTTTTAGAGGTTGCTAGAAGTATGATGATCTCCATGAATGTCCCAGAAACATTGTGGGGGCAAGCAGTATTGACTGCAGCGGCGCTGATCAACAGAATACCCTCGAGAGTACTGGATTGGAAGTCTCCGTGTGAGACGTTGAAAGGAGATAATGGTGGGATTCTTCCACTGAAAGTATTTGGCTGTGTGTGCTTTGTGAAGGATAACAGACCATCAGTAGGGAAGCTTGCCCCTAGAGCGGTGAAGTGCATTTTTGTGGAATATTCTGCTACTCAAAAGGGATATGTTTGCTGGAGCCCGGTGGAGAAAAGGCTGTTTGTGAGCATGGATGTGTACTTTCGTGAATTTGAGCCATATTACACACAGAAGGTACCCTCATCCGTTGGTGACTCGCCCAATACTGAAAGTATGAGGCGAGAAGGGGAGAATGGTGAGAGGCAGATAAATAATGTAGAGAATAATATGGAGAAATCGATTTCTCTAACGATTCCTTGGAAAGGAGAATTGGTTGAGGAGGAGCAGGAGAATAAAGAAGAAGAGGATAAGGAGACAAGAGGTGTTAGGCCCACGGTTCAGGGGGAGCTACTTACCTATAGTAGGAAGGGGAAGCAAATTGCAGAAACAGTACCTACAGTGCCACTAGTGCCAAGTCCCTTATCAACGCCTGTCCCGACTCCTGAGACACCTACACCACTATCAGATTCCTCTCAATGTGATATCATTCATCTCTTTACTCCTCCCACACCAATGTCAGTACGGAGGACTACTCGCAGCAATGCGGGACATCCTCCCGATAGATATGGTTGGGATCTTGCCCAGTTTGTATCATATTCTAATATCCACCATGCACATGGAGCATTTATTGCATCATTGGACTCTGTTACTGTACCTAATAACTGGCAGGTTGCTAAGAAGGACCCAAAGTGGAAAGCAGCTATGTACGAGGAGCTAGGAGCTCTGGAGAAGAACCGTACTTGGGAGCTAGTAAAACTACCAGAAGGGAAGAGAGCAGTTGGATGCAAGTGGGTCTTCACTGTGAAGCAGAATCCAGATGGACAAGTTGAGCGCTACAAGGCTCGTCTGGTGGCAAAAGGGTATAGCCAGACGTATGGAATCGACTATGATGAGACTTTTGCACCGGTAGCGAAGATGAGCACTGTTCGGACCTTGATCTCTCTGGCAGTAAATGATGGATGGAAGCTACACCAACTAGATGTGAAGAATGCATTCCTTCATGGAGATTTGGTGGAAGAGGTATACATGAAAATACCACCAGGATTCGACACAGATCAGACAGTGAGCAAAGTCTGCAGATTGAAGAAGTCTCTCTATGGTCTGAAGCAGTCTTCACGTGCTTGGTTTGACAGATTCAGGAGGGCTATGATTGGTATGGGGTACCAGCAGATCAACGTCGACCATACCGTGTTCTTTCGACGAAGTGGAGGCCACATTACCATGCTGGCGGTATATGTGGATGATATGATTATTACAGGAGATGATGAGAAGGAGATTGCCCAACTCAAAGTAAGACTGGGTAAGGAATTCGAGGTG